GGGACGAACGTGCAGGACATGCAGGCGAGGATCTTCCAGTTGCACAGGTTCCCAGGGCTGCCGGGCTGTGGCGGCCGTGTGGTCTGCTTGATGAGCTGGCAGTAGAGCTCATCTCGCAGTGGTTTGAGCTCCTGGCCCGTCTGCAGGATGCCCTGAATGATGGGCACGGGGTCAGCCACGCCCTCCAGATGCTGCAGCGAGCTGAACACCTTGAGGGCTTCATCCTGCAGGGTTGTGTAGCTTCTGCTTCTTGGAGCTGAGCAGGGAAGAAGTTGTGATTATATCAGTACATATGGTACATTAGCGTATCTAATTTTTACCATTTTAGTTAAGATATTAAAGACATTAGTACTAAGTTAGATTGTCAATCCCTATTCTGTGTCAGTGGTGCTCACTGGTGAGATGAATGTCCCCGTAGGGCAGTGGCAGCAGCGGGGAATGCAGAGGGTGATGACTGTAGCGAAGGATCGGGTTCCTCTTGTAGATCTGCTCAACGACCTCCAAGTTCAGACAGTTCTCCTGCAAAGAGAAGAGGAGCTTGGGTTTAGTGCACTGCTGATTATCTGAGGCTTTACTGGAAGGAAAGAATTAAAATGACCACTGACATCCATTTTTGCACGTTCACAGTTTCCTACCTTGATGTCCTGGATGAGCTGCTGGGTGGGCGTGTCGATGGGAGCTTTGGTATCTATGACATTTTGGACGGAGTTGGCCCAGCGCGTGGCTTCAGTCAGCAGCTTGCAGTAGAGACGGTACGAGTGTTTACGGCCGTACACGATCACGTTCCAGTATCCTGACGCGACAAGAGGGGCGGAGAGAAATTGAAGCTACTGGGTAGAGAAGGAGTCGGCAGTTCGTGCCATTTTCTTCTCTTACCAGTCTCTTTGAAGACCTTCTCATCTGGCTGAACCACTGAGCAGAGGCTGTTCAGCACCAGCGTTCCCAGCTTGAGGGCATTACGCTCGGAGCTCTTATAGTAGTCCAGGGAATTGTGGGTAAGCAGGAACCAGCGCTTCTTCAGCTTCAGTGAAGCTTTGGTGCTGTTCTTCATCTCTTTGTGCAGCCAGCCTGGTGGGAAATAATTATTAAATAACTTTTTGTATTCTCTGCTTTCCTCTGAACTTTTCAAAACTATAAAAATGCAGAAAAGTCAAACTTATTGTCTGTGAACGAGCTTTATTACGGTTTTCTTTAATAACAGAGAAAATCAAACCTGCTTCTGCCTTACAGCTTCTACATATACAGATTTGATTACTTGAATTATAACA